CTGTCCATATCATTAATGGAAACGTTAAATAGCAATACATTGGGGAAGGTTTTGGTGGTGCCTTCTTTGGCATATTCAATTTTTCAGTGAATCACTCCTTCAAAGTAGCCTTTCCAAACATTTGAACATCCATCTTTACAATTGTTTCATTTAAGATATGTATTCCAAACTGGCTCATAAGAATTATGTTTGGGAGAATTCCTAAATGCTAGCCAAAGTCAAGATTTGTTACATCTGCCCTTACCCCTGTAGGCAAGGTTTGCTACCCACCATGTAATGGAGAGAAATTAGGGTTGTTTTTTTTTTCCCCATGAATCTGTGTTGATCCTTAGATTGTGATGTTGCCAGCTAGATGTTTACAAATAGTTCTGGTTTTGTTTCCTTTTCTGCTGTTATTCTGGAAACTCAAGTTAATGTGATTGGCCTGTAACTCTCTAGGACTTGCTGATAGTAGCTAATTTTGGACATAGTGGCTAGTTGAGTTTTGAGAGTAAAATAAGCCCTGAAACACTGTTTTAGGCCACAAAAAACAGATAGAACTGAGACTCTAAATTACGGATTGTAATTGCAAATGATAATTTTAAAAAATGTTTTAAAAGAGTAAGTTATCCAACAGTTTAACTCTCATCCCTTGTGTACGTTACAGTTCAGTTCTTGCGGATCCCTGGTTTTATTCCTTGTTCTTGTTCTCAGTCACTGTGAACTTCCTCAGATATGTGTGCACCTTATCTGTCTTGCTGCTGACACCCAAGCCACACCAATCCACCAGTGTGCTTGTGCCCATTTCTTTATGCTGTCTCTTGTGGCTCCACCCTTATGGGGAAGGGAGCACCAAGGATCGATAGAAGCTCATGTTCAAAAGGAACAAATGAAGTGAGAGGGTCTGCAAAAGTTTACGAAGTTTTATTAGTAAATTACACACTTGGCATGGGAATTGGTATGTTAATCTCTGATCTCCTAGATAAACACACAGCAGTGGGTTTTGGATAAAGTGAAAGAGAAGAGAGAGAGATACATGAATTAACGAGTGTGAGAAAGGAAAGAAGGAAGAAAGAAACAAACCCCCAGTCGGTCCTGGATCCAGTGTCAATCGATCCAGGTGCTGGCGATGTCCAGGGTTTTGGGGGCACTGCATGGACTTGATAGGGGTACTTCTCTCTGCCCTGGAGATTTCTCATTTTCTATGCAAATTAGTTACTTATCATGTGCAGCCTGTTCTTTTAGACCTTTCTGGAAATGGATCAGAGGGATTCTGATGTCTTTAGTCTTGCTTTTTCCCTACAGTCTGTGCCTGCTTCTCAGCCTCATTCTGGTACGCTGCACTCTTATGCTTATCTCTTAGGGCTAGAACAAGGACGTTTGTCCTGGAAAAGAGCTGCCCTCCCTCCATATGGCCCCCTTCTCCAGCCACATCCTGTTCTTTCTCACAGTGTGTTATTACCAACAATCCTTGGCTGTTACTACCAACAATCCTTGGTTGGTTCCAAAGCTATGTGGCTATCAGTGTTTGAGACATACACATTAGCCCCCTTATCGTCTAGGCCTCTACACCCTTTCAGCTCTTTCAGGAAACTTAATTTGGAGCAGTTAGGAATAGTATCTCCAATATATGAATGGTACCAGCAGTACTCCATAAGCATTTGCTTTTTTCCTTACACTTGTCTTGAATGAAAGTGTCAGACATAAGGACTTGAATCAGTAACTGAGCACATTAAACCCACCATTTTCTTCAGAGTTTTCTAGGCTATATGTTGCTGTTGGGCATCTCTTTTGGTGAGAAAGACTGTATTATATTTAGCCTACTAAAGCTGTGCTTCATTGGGAATCCCCAACATGGAATATACATGGGAAGAAAACAGTTGACAGAGAAAGAATTGTTTCTTGCTAGCTCATAACTACTTCTTCAGGTTCAAGTTCTTTGTGTTTGGAAAAAAAAAGAGCTACAGCTCTGCTCAGATTACTTTCTTTGATTCACTGCATGAATATAGCTGAATTGTATGTGCAGTGAAGGGAAGATCTTGGCAAAATCTGGTCTTGGATAGAGAGAGGTTAACCAAGACTGTAAATATGAAAGCATTCCGGCCATATATAGTGGCTAATATTTCTTCTAGTCTCATTCTAACAGTAATGAGAATTTGGGCAATAAGATCTGTGCATGTTACCCTGATAATAGAGAGCACAGGTAGAATGCTGGTGCCAGGGATGCATTCACTTATATTCTTCACTGTCTATGTCTTGATTTGGAAAACTGGATTGTATGAAGGTAAATTCTAGCTTTAAAAATAAAGAAGCTGTGCTAGTCTGGGATGTAAATTTGCCTGGGCCAACTAAGTCTTTTCTACATGTGGAAAAATCAGACCTGCGATTCATCAGTGAAGAGCCAGCCACATTACTGAGAAGCAGCAGAACCCAAAGGAAAATGCTTTGGAAATGCTTTGTATGCCTGGGTCCCCATTTGACTGCTGTATCTATACTGCCTAAGGAATCATACAATTACAACTTGTATAATTCCGCAATGACCAGAATGTTAGTACATGAAATGCTGCCTGAGAAGGTTCATAAGCAATTGCTCATCATGGGATTTTTGAGTAGCTCTAGCAGCTAAAAATCTGCAGAAATCTGAATCTTGTTTGAGCTACTTCACCATAAAGATATTTAACCTATAGTTAATAAGTGTCTCTAAGTCCTTAATGAGTTAGCACTTACAGTACTGAATTAATCCTGAATCACTGTATTTCCAGACATTCAGTTAATACTGCTGTTGATTAAAGCTTACCTAGCGACTGCATCACTGAAGGTTGAATATGCTGTTACAGATCTGAGGATGAGACCAGGTTGCTCAGGGCCTTGTGCACTTGGGCCTGAAAAACCTCCAAGGAAGGAGACTGAACAAGCTCTATGGGCAGCCTGTGCCACTGCCCTCCTGGGGAAAAAGTTTCTCCTTACATCTAGTTAGAAGCTTTCTTTAAGGTTATGATGTACTTAAAAACAGTGAAAGCTAAAAAAATAAATGCTAATTTAGGTATTTGAAATTTGAGATGAGTAGTGGCTGTTTTCCTGCTTAAGGAGTTGATTGAATCCAGTATTTTTCCCCACTGATCTAAGAGGACAGCATTTCACCCTGTGTGCTGCTTTGAGAAATCCATTTACTGAGTTGCAGGTTCAGGCTTAAGAGTTATCCAGATGTAGAGCTTTATCTTACCTCTTGAAAAGCCTCTAGGGAGTGGATGAATCAGGCCTGCTAATTAAACAAGCTAGAGGCTGCAAACACATGGAAGTGGAACAGGTGACAAGAATAGCATAAAACACCTTGGCTTCTCTTGCCAGCTGGGCCAGCCTGCAGGTGTTGACAGGCACATGAAGGTAGGGGTGGGAAAACTGTCAGCTTTTCTTCTTCTCACCTTTGACGGAAAGGGAATAAAAAGAACAGCTTATCTTTTATGTTTAAATATCATTCCAGATGAAAAATTTCATCAGATTCTGTTCCCAAGTGTGTCTCAAAAAGCAAAGAGAAAAATAAACTTAAAAAATAGAGAGCGTGCATCTGTCTTCAATTTAAGTTAGAAGGAATTCTTTAAAACCAAACCAAACCCACTAACCCTTATTTTTTTCCCTTTCTTACAAAGTCAGTTATGTGGGACAAATTAATATTGGATTTAATAGGCTTTCTGTGCCCAATAGATTTTATACTTAAGAAAATTACTATCACTAGCAAATCCTGTTTACGTTGGAAAAAAAGGCACTGCTTGTATATTAACATTCTTGCCAGAAAAGAATCTAGACTATTTTGCTTTAGAAGTATTTACTCAAATGGAACTTTTTAATTTTATAGATAGGAAATTAAGAGTTCACTTGTTTGAAGTGATATCACATACTCAGATTTAATAATAAGTTGGTGTGCAGCTTTTACTATCTGGGTTTGTCAGCCTCTGGTTACCTTATCTCTCAAATGTTTTTACTACATCTTTACTTGAAATCAGTTTCTTCTCTTTGCTCTTTCACACATCTGAGTCTTTACTTTCTTGTTCAGAACTACTTATGAGCACAGAGTTTGCAGGGCTGTGCAAATGACTTCTACATCTAATGCCCCCTTCGGCATATTTGGTATTGGCAAATGTGTTTCAAAAGGTAATAGTGCAAAAAAATCTTCCCTGTGGGTAATTTCTGGTCTTTGGGGTTGATTTAAAAACCACAAACACACAAACCAACCTAATCCACTGTGGAACCAGAGAGTCTATAAAAAAATCCATCAAGCCAAGGTAATAATTTTTTTTAACAACTTTAAAGTTGTAATGACTGATATGGGGGTCAGGACCATTGATCAGTTGCCTTAGTTCTTTAGGTTGAAGTGGCTGATAATTCATTCTTCCAGGCTACCTTGTTATCGCTGCTGTAGCTGTACCCTCTCGAGGAAGTGCTTGCTGTTGTATTTGGCATTGCAAGTGGTTCCTGGTCCTCTGCCTCCTTGCCCCTGAACATCATAGTGGTGGTTGTGGATGTCAGGATGAGGCATTCTGGAGGGCCTCTCCTACTTTGTCTGGTTTCTTACTTGTGTTGTCTAGTCTCCAGCTCTCTTCTTCTTGCTCCTGCCCTGAGCTGTGTTGCAAGTGTGGTAGCCTGTGTCTCTGTCTTACTGCATGGAGCAGCATTGCAGTGGTTCCAATTAATCACTCAGTACCTTCACACCTCAGAGTCTACCCTGGCCAGGGGAGCAGCCAGTTTCAGTCAGCCCTTGTGGATTCTGTGTGACATTATAAATATGACTAGTAAATTAAGAGTGGCTGGGGAGAACTGTTCTAAGATCTCTCTCTTTTTTTTTTTTTGTATTAGACAGAGCCTACCTGTTCTAAAATCTGTAAAAGCAGAGTAATGTGATGACCATTTGTAGCTGAATTTGTAAATCTGAGATTCACAGATTAACTTCTATTTAACTCAAGTTTTCCAAGGTCTATCTTTTAATTCTAAAGCAAATTTATTTTCTCAACCATCTTTTTAAACAGATGAATCATGTAAAAGACAGATTTGGTGACAGTGTGCCAGAAGAAGTGCTTCTGCTGTGTCTGGGCATTACTTCAGGAGTTGGCAGGTTGATCTTTGGCAGAGTTGCCGATTATATTCCTGGTGCAAAAAAAATTTATTTACAGGTATGTTTTTATTATTTCTATATTCCTTCAGAACTGTGTATTCTGAAGGCTTTGGTTTCAGGTACTCCTCATAAGCAAGCAGAACTAACTGATTGGAAATTCAAATTTGAAAAGTTTCAAAACTCTGGGAAATTCAATGTATGGTGTTTGATACTAGGAGCCTTTGGTGCAAAGTTTATGAATCTGACTTTTATTTTTAATGCTAAGAAAATGTCGATTTCCTGCTTGCTGTTTTCAGCTGGGAATGGAAGAAATTACTAATCATTAGCATGTGAGTGAGAACCTCTGGGGATTCTCTAGATTCTGCTTTCTGTGTTTTATCCCATGATTTCATAATGGTTGCAGAAAGGTTAATTTTTTTTCCACATGTTCCTCTATTAAGGATTTTGGATCTCTTTTCTTGATCTTTGATAGGTGCTGATTTGGTGTTAAGTATGTTCTGAGTATAGTACGCAGTGGTATGGCCATGGGAACATAAGAGGTGCTTAATTGAGGAGATTTTGCAGAAGGAGTAACAGCTTCCAGAAATGCTGAAGCTTGGGGATGAAGGAGGATATACATTTCTTTCCCTCCACACTTATAAACGATATTTTTTTAAGGCAGAGTGTGGGATTTTGGGAAAGCTTTAGTCCACTTGCCTGTTGGCAACCGCGAGGTGTTCTCCATTTGGTCTTTTAAAATGAATAGCAAGGGAGGCATCTAGTGGATGTTGTCTGCACTGCATTATGGAAAACAAAAATTCTTAGGAAAGAATTACCTTCCTGGAGTATTTGTTGTCATAGAAAAACTTAGATTTCCTGATGTGTTTGGGACATTGATTTCCTATGCTGACATATGGATGGTCCACAGGCAAAACTATTACCTTTTTTTTTTCTGTTTAATTCTGCTTTATTTTGCTGAAAGACAGTTTTATTCCTTTAGTCTAAAACAAATAAATAATCTAAGGTTATATTAGAAAATCTTTGTAAGTATGCATGAGTGCAGCAGTACACTTTTTTTGTGAAAAATTGTAATGGTTTCACTTCTGTTGAAATATAAGCATCCTGAAGTAATCATTCACAATACTGATATTTTTACTTAAATTACAATAGTGAGGAGTCTAATTACAGTATTTCAGCTATATTAAACTTTTGATATTTCTTTGACTTTCATTTGTGGAAAGAGCTGGGAACAACTTCTCAAAAAATTTTGGTGCATGAGAAATGACCTTACAGAGTCACTGCAGGATAGTTGATTACAAATGCATTTTCAAAGTTTGTGAAATGGGTAGTGGAATTTCTTTGCCTGTCATGAGTTATGTTTTTGTTTTATCTTGGTATGTAACCTCTGATGGTGGTAATCCGTGGAGACTGATTATATGTATTTTAAAGCAAATATAGGCGGATAATTTAATTCATTACAAATTCAAGGAAGCTTATCTGTTCCCTAATATTTGTGAATTTGATGCAATGTGTTTTTATATCTTTTCCCTGGTCGTGTTTAGGTGGCCTCATTCTTCTTTATTGGCTTGATGTCTATGATGATTCCACTGTGCCATGTCTTTGGAGCTCTCATAGCTGTGTGTCTCTTCATGGGCCTATTTGATGGGTGCTTCATTTGCATTATGGCTCCTATTGCCTTTGAGCTTGTTGGGGCTCAGGATGTCTCCCAGGCTATAGGATTTCTACTAGGACTCATGTCAGTCCCTATGACAGTTGGACCACCCATTGCAGGTGAGTGTAGACATGCTCTGTAGCTGTAAATATGTTTCTGTGTTTGCTTGACTTTTTGGCCATGTTTTCTAATCCTACATCATATGCAGTGCACTGACACTGTAAGTTTTTTCTTGGTATGTGCTTGAGAAGATGTGGTGAATTTAACTGCTGTGCATTGATTATTAGTTTACTGCACTCTTCAAAGTTTGCTCGATCTTTTTCATTAAGTTATGCAGATGTAAAACCTTTCTCAAAAGAAAGGTAAGTTTCCAGTTGGATTTAGGACCTGGCATTTTCCATGCTATTGAAGTGACAGCCTATAGGTTGCTTGTGTTAGAGTAGGACTCCAAATTAGAATCTGAAAATTAACTGGATTCCAAAATTAGCTTTATCCATTCTTTGATGGGAGACTGTTTGACAAAGTAAAGATTTTGAAGCTGAATACTAGAAGTTCTGTGGGAGGTATAAATAGCTAAAGCTGTGTTTCTTACCACTGATGATTTTCAGTGCTAATTTAATCTGAGATCTGGTGAGTGCTACTGAAAGGTACTTAGTAAGTTGTAACTGAACTATGCAGCCTTATAAAGGACAACATTTTAAAGCTAGAACACCATAGACTAGGTACTTCCTGATCTGGATATACTGTCACAGCTATTAATACTTAAATAGAATTTGACTAATGGGAGGAATTTGGAGAGAGCAATTAGAGTGAATTATTGGCAAACATGCTTTTTAATAAGAGGCTACTAGGAATGCAATATATGCAGTATATTGAGAATAAGAGGAAGAGGCACATTTAATAGAGGCAACTGTAACTAAAAGAGGGAGAATTTCTCCAAGTCATGGCAAGATATAAGTGCTGGAGAAGCTCAAATGAGCAACTTTCAAATAGGAAAAATTGTACATGTTTTTGATGGGTGGTAGTTAAGCTGTCAAGGGGTGATATACTGAGCTCTTCATTACTACTTTCAAATCAACTCTGGAATACCTTTCTACCTATATGTACATGTATATTTGGCCATCAGGTTGTCAGTGGTTATAATCTGTGCCAGCTCTCAGGTTTCTAAATCCAAAACCAAGACCTGTTTTTTGCAGATTCCTGAGGCCCAATTATTTATGAGGGGTTATTTCCTGTCTTTCCAGGCTTGCTGCGTGATAAACTGGGCACCTATGATGTGGCATTTTACCTGGCTGGAGTCCCTCCCCTCATTGGTGGAGCTATTTTATGTTGCATCCCCTGGGTCCATGAACGGCAGAAGCTAAAAGAAAGAGCAAAGCCTGTTGATGGAGAAACTACTGAGAAAATGCTGGAAAATGAAAGCACTTTGGTGTCAAACACAACAGAAAAGCCAGTCAGAGAACTGGAATCTGGCATTTGATGCTTTCTTTTCCCTATACCATCCTGACCTCTACTGAAGTTTGATTTCTACTTTTTGGCTGAAGATATTATACTACACTGAAGAAGTCTTGAACTATTGCTCAAATTGCAAAACTGTTAGAATCTTTTATACCATTGAACTTTTTTGATGAGTTGTTGAATTTGATCTCAAGCCACATTTTCAAGATATTTGAAGTTTTGTAGCTTTAATGTGTATGTGTGTAGTGATTCTGTGTGTGAAGAGAATATTTTTCTAATCCATCAGAACCGATTTCTGGAAATGTGAGAGCTGTTTTTGGTTCACTGACCCAGGATTCTTCAATCACATCTATGGCCCATCCAATGCAGGCACATCCATGGGTGTTTATGCTGGATAATGTAGTAGCTCTTATGACTGATTTGTTTTTTGAAGTTTCTCATGCTGTTTACAGTCTTTTATAATTCTGTATCATGAACACGAATATGCATATTTTTGATTCCCTAAACTCTTGATGAAATGATTTTTCATTAGAAAACTAATTTATTAAACATCTGTTTTATTTTTTCTAAATACCCCAGCCTGTGTAGTTTGCCAAAACACTCGCTTGTGTTTGCATTCACCTTTCACAGTAGCCCAAACAAAGAACGTTCAGGATGAAATTCTTGGGCTCAAGTTTTGAATATGCACAAACTAAGCTCTGAGTGCGAACATGTTCAGAAGTAAAGCTGCCGAATTATAGACTTTTTTTATTTACTGAAGGCAATACTATTAAGATGCATGTGTATAATTTTTTTTTTCAGCCAAACCTCAGAGTAGTTGATAGTTTTGAAACTATAATGACTAATTCTTTGGAGCAGTATTGTGAATTAGACTAAATTTCAAATTATTCTGTTGTACTTGTTAGAGTTTTTTTAATTCTTAGAAACAAGACAGCTTTAAAAGATACATTCTAAGTGCAATACCAAGTTGTTTTTAATGTGGAAATATACCTGAACTATTAAAACGAAGTTCATCAATTAAGGATTTTTGCACTAAGTGAACATGCAGGTTGATTACAGGTCTATATAGTTGTGTTCAATTACCTGTAGGATAGAGCTCCATATCTTATTCAAATATAAAGAAATGTCTTTGCATGTCCTATTTCTTGCTTAACATCCTAAACATATGGCTCCATTGCTTATGTATTCTTAAGTATCATACACTGTTTGTCAAGCAGGTATTTCTGAAAACCTCTTTTTCTGAGAAATATTTAAAAGCATAATACTTTGAGATGAAAACACTGTTTTTCAGTTTATCATAAAACACTTCTATGTGCAGTGCTTATTTGTGGATATGGATCAGCAATCACTGAAATAGTTAATCATTCTTTTTTCCAGGTCCATTCAATACCAATAATTTTTATTTCCTTGTTTAGAACTGTCATAGTGAAGAGTAAACTAAATGTGATCTGGACAAAGTGTATATTTAAGTGCATTTTCTTAATTAGTAACAGTACTTGTTCTTTACACAAACCATGGAGGCATACTGGTTTTTTGAATTATAGCCTTTATTGTCTTTTCTATTTTCATTATTTTTCCTTCTCCAGTGTTGTTGTAGTAAATCGCTCAGAAAACCCACATACATATTTTTTGATACAAACAGCAATACTATTGCATTGCATGTTTACATCTAGCAACTGATGGAAGTTCTTTAAATGTAATATACAGAGCATCCTAATTATTGTAGACAAAACTTCAGACCCTTTTTCTATTGCAGACTTTCAATCCCTACTTTACATGAGTGAGCTCTGAATAATTGAATCTTAAAATATTAGAGGTGTATAGGGAAGGACTTGGAGGTGAGGAAAAAAAACCCCAAAACCAATCTGGAAAACAGAGGTCCCTTCATGTTCACTTGGCACATCATAAGTACTTCTAAAATTTTCATTAAAAGATGCATAGTATTGTTAATTAAAATTACTATGAAATGCTGCCTTCATTAAAAAAGTGATGTTAACAGTTGATGTTGCTCTTGTCTGGAGTGTTTCTGTAGAACATGTTATTCAGTATTATTTTCCAGTTGGGCAACGCAAAAGGTGTTGTTGAGTAAGTGTGGTAAAAGCCTCTTGTTTCCTAATGCTTTGTTATGAAAAATTAATGTTCATCACAGATCTTGCATTTCATGTGTTTTAGTGTTGAGTTTTAAACTGAAAACAAGGCTGCTCTTTATCACTGGTGCAATTTCCAATGATTGTGACCAGATATCTTGATGTAATTGTGATATGGTCCCGACTTGCTGCTCTGTATCTCTATAAATTATCTAGGAGAGTATGTAAAGTAATTGTTGTTAGGTTTTAGAAATGACACAGAAATGGTATAACAATAATATGGATTAATTATTGGCATGCTCTTTAAAAATAAAAATCCAAACTCTCATATTTGAGTAACGAAAAACATTATATTGCTCACAAATATGAAGGACAGCATTTATTAAAAAAACCCCAAAACCAAAAAACCCCAACAAACAAATGACTCCAGGAGGAGGTACAATGAGTTAATAACTGTTTAGGAGTGATTACTATGTAAAAACCAACTAGTGAGTGGCGTATCAGGTGAGAGGGAAGCAGAGTTAAGGAAGCTATGCTGGTGTGGTGAGGTGATGTTGGAATAATGAACCTATTTCTGATGCCAGTGCTTGTTTTGCAAAAACGCTAAAATTGGAAAGGCTTCTCAGAGAAGATAAAGTAAATTAATGCAGAAGAATTCTGTTAGCATCTTTTCTGTTAGCTTGTGTCTATGGGGGAAATGTCCAATAGAAAATACTCTTTTTTTGGACAAAAGCATGAGGAGTTTGTGTCCTAAAGCTAGATAAGACACAGTTAAAAATGAAAAAAAAACTCAGATTTTTAGTGGTGAGGCCAACCAATCACTGAGAAACTTACTGAGAAATATACTGAATTCTGTGTGCCCTGAGGTTTTAAAAATGAGGTTAGCTGTCTCCCTTTAAAAAACCCAAACAAATCCAAACCCAAACAAATCCCAACCCAAACCAAAACACAAAACCCCAAAACAAATAGCTATTTATTACTTCAATGAAAATGATTAAATATTGTTGAAATGGTTGCACTTCTGAAAACTAGGAGAGAAAAGGACTGAAGACTCAATTTTATTCTAACTGAATAAATGTAAATAAATTTTTGTAGCTATTTATTTTCAGGTGTGAAAACCTGTTCATGGGAAGCCTGCTGAACTTACATTTGGATGACTCAGTTCATTCCAGACTTAGTCTTGTTGGCTAGTAGATTCTAAAATTAAAACAGTAGCTTAATTCAAGAAGACTCTTAAATTATTCTGGTGTATCCCTCTCTTGAGAACAGTTTGTAAGAGTACTTTCCATAGACATGGCTCTCTCATCCTATAAACAGAGTAATCATTTTTTTCCATTGAATGTTCTCAGGGTAAGCTTCAGAAGAAATTGGGTCAAGAGAGGTTCACTTAAAATGGTGATGTGAAATTTCCAGTCCTACTTAATGCTATAAATAACACACCAGACCTTGAAATGAAGACTAATTTTGAGCAAGGTTTGATTGTCTTCATGTCTGGCTGACACATCTTTTCAGTGCGTATGAGATCCTTGTAAATCTTAATATAGCTGTTCAGCAAAGAGTCAAATAATGAAAACTCTTCAGGTTATTATTACATCTATGCTATATAACAATATTCAGTGATTAATTTATAAAGAAAGTATTGTTGGATTTGCTTTGGCTACAGTAGAAGACCCATACAAGTCTCAAACCAAGACTTCAAATTATAACGTAATTAGAATTTCTTTCATCCAGATCTTCTTCTGTTCAGCATTAACATTTTAATTATTTTTCTACATTTATTTTCAGTGACCATTTATTGCCCCTGAAAATTGCTCCCTCACCTCAAAGGTGCTATAGGCGTTCTGTGGCCATTCCTCAGGGTCTATTTGGTATCAGAGGTAGACAACTGACATTTTTCTCCTTTGGTCCTTCATGTCTAATGTCTGGGCATATACATTCCCCCTTTCCCTTCAGAGACACTGGATTGTCAAACTGATGCACACCATATTGAATATGGATAGTACTTTTCAGCCTTCCCTGCATTAAATCTTTGAGTAGCCATAGCCTGGCAGACCAGCCAAGTTTTGATGAAGTGAGAGGGGTGAGATTGGATCACCTCCCAGGAGCACTGAATGCAGCTCTTACATATCCCAGGTGAATGCTTTGATCACAGGCTTGTGATGTAAAAAAAATGGACACTGCCATTGTAAAAAAAAAAAAATGCTCTGCTCAATTCTTTGCATCAGGTAGTACATGCCAAAGGGACAGGAGATGCTTCCTTGCAGCCCCAAAGGAAGTATGTCAGGATGGGAATCAGTGCTACTATCCTTACTATCATTTGTGTAATTTAGCTTAAGCAGCTGGGCTCTCTCTGTGCTGGCATGGAGCAGCTCCCTGCCTCGAGAGCTCAGAGAGTGGCTCAGCTGTGCCCTCTGAGCAGGGAGCAGAAGTGGTGCCTTGTCTGAGGCCTGGATTGCCCTTCGGAGAGCTGGAAGTGTTACAGAAGCTGGCATCTGAAAGCTTTTGTCAGAAATGACCCTCTGCTATTAAGAGTGTCTGTGTATGTGTATATAAATACAATGTATTTTGACCAGGGCATACACAAACTTTCTGCATTTATCTAGAGGAGGTGTAGCACTGGAATGTGAGAGATGGCTGAGGAAAAAGTAATTATTTTCATTGTGTGTCTCACTGTTGGCAAGCACAGCACCATTACAGTTCCAGCCAGCCAGTGAGTTTCCAGCCATGTAAACTTTGGCATATGTTCGGTATACCCTTTAGAATATATATATATATTTTGTCAACAGTTGTAATGTTTTGGAACTGCATATGCTAAGATTAGAGTGATTTTATACCAAAATGTTTGCTAATATTGATAACACTGACATGTTTAAGTATCTTTATAGACATCTTATTTTGTATGTTGTTTTTGATATTAAAGGATATATGTTTTGCTAGCCTTAACTACATTCTTTCAAGTTCTGCTTTGTTAAGAGGGTAAGAAATGAATGTCTAATGTTTTTCATGGTGCTAAAATAACTGTGATCAGCCTCAAATTATTCAGAATAAAGATGGTAGTTCTTAAGTGCCCCATTTGTTACTGCATGCATAATTTCTAGTCTTATTCTCCTGTAAAACTTCTAATTTTTAAAAGTAATTTTATGTTATATTATGATAATTATTGAATCTAGTGTGCAGACTTCTATCTAAAAGACTTTACATCTTTTATTACCACTGTGGTCTGAGTGAAATGTCCCCATTTGATCCTAAATTAATATATGGTACTACCCATATAATTCTAATTGTACTGACAATCCATTTTAAGATTAATTATTTATAAGCCTTTACTTCTTTCTGAAAAAATTATCTTCTCTTTCCATTCTGGGGTTTAATATCAAACTTACAGGAAGAGATACATTCACAAAAGGCAAAAGTAAAATTGAGGGGGGGAGAGAAATGAGTAGAATAAGCTTGAATGGTGTTTTAAAAGAATTCTAATTTTTAATTTTTTTTCTCATTTTTGCTTCATGAACTGCCAGTGTAATTCAGTAGGACCTTTGATCATTTACTGGCCTGCTACCAATTTCATTTTGATTTACCTTGGCGGCATGAAGCATGGAGTGTTTCCTCATTGACAACTTAGTTTTATTAAAGAAAAATAAATATTTGGCCCTACTACAAAGAAAAGGTGAATGAACTCCTGAGATTTACCTATCTGATGATATGAGGGAAATATCCCCTTTTCACCTGGGGTTATTCTCTAAGCTGCTTATAGTTCAAATTTAAATTTGAAAAAGGTGCCGAAAACCTTTATAAAAGCCTGGGTGCTGTTTCCATTTGTACACTCTTGAGGTACAAAGCTTCTTTGTAAGTGTTTAAAACAATAATGAGGACAATCCTAGGAAGTACATTTCAAATACTGCTGTATCTTTTCTGGGAAGCTGTTTTTATAAAAGGCGAAATACTAAAACTTAAAAATGCAGTTTGACTGGTATATGACTTTCAGAAAATAAATGCTGATGTTTTATACTTGAAATTGTTTTATCTGGAATTGTCTCTGCTGCTGGACCTATGAACAGAAGCTCAGCAGTGTTTTGCAGATAGCTCGAAGTTCAGACTGCTCTCTTGCAAAACTATTGACCCGGCTGTGAACCATCCAGGTTTAAATGTTGTCTCTTGTTGTTACTTGTAGCAGCTAAATTTTTTTAATGCATGAGTTCCCCCAGGCTACCCAGAACAGGAGTGTGCTTGCGACACGCTTGCCAGTGCCAGGAGAAACAGGAATTGGTTGCTACATTCTCCATGCGCTGTTATATTCCAGTATATATTTGTTATGAACAACTTGCAAAACGAAGCAAGCCAATTTGGAATTATCTTTGAGTTGTTTGGGAGGCTT